GAAATTGAGCTGAGGAGAGAGATTGGACATTCATCACATACACACAATGCACCCCTTGCACACAGAAAAACACACATGCATTACACACACAGACACACATACACAAGCAATGCAACCGTTACACACAATGCATCCCTTACACACACAGAAACACACAATGCATTCATTACACACACTCAATGCACCCCTTACACACATTCAATGCATCCCATACATACACAGAAACACACCTTGCAGCCCTTACACATACAAACACAATTTCACACAATGCATTCCTTACACACATATCAGGACATCCCCTACACACTCCACCCCCTGTGAACAAACTCATTGGTGGAACATGAAGGTGGACCCTGGGACCCAGACCTTGAGCTGTGTAAAGGACCCCCAAAAAATGGAGCTGCTTCCCGTTCTCCCAGAACATTGATTTTTGTGACCACAGTTACAAACCGCCTCCAGAGAGCCTGTTCTGCACCAGACCAGTGGAGCCAGACTGCAGCTAGAGCCCATCATCATCCTCATCTGGTTGTAAGTAGGCAATCTAGTATATTATTCGTGGCACTAAGCTCTAATTTACCTCACATTAAAGAAACACTATAGTCCCCAGAACCACTTCAGCTTAATGTAGTGGTTCTGGTGTCTATAGCCTGTCCCTGCAGGCCTTTTAATGTAAACACGGCAGCACTGCAGAACTGGCATTAGTTAACATGGCAAATCATATGGCTGGGGCATTGTGATGTCACATGGGTGGCGGCAAACTTTACTTTTGCCTTGGGCGGCAAAAATCCTTGTACCGGCCCTGGCTGGAGGGGGCTGTGTGAGCTGTGGCCGCACAGTGTCCCATGGTAGTTAGGGTGCCGTGCGGCCAGTACAGCTCACTCAAGCAAACAGCTGATAAACTGGCCGCACGGAGGAAATGTGTATGTGTGACTGTCTGCCTGTGACTGTGTGTGACTGCCAAGCACAGGATCCGCCCCGGGTGCCAAATGCTCTAGGTACGCCCCTGGTAGGGGGTATGGTATTTCCAAACATTCTTGTAAAACAGTTAAAGCTAAACTACAGTGTCAGGAAAACAAAGTTTTAGGGGCTCCCTTTGTCGTAACTCCCACCCTGTGGTGCAGAAGGGGTTAAAGATCCCTTTTGTCACTTACCCGATTCCAGCACAGATGTCCCTCGGTGCTGGTTCGGGCTCTGCCTCCGCTCCTCCACCGCCGCCATAGGGCTTCCCCCATATGTCTTCGCACATAGCATGAGGATGACCAGCGTGAGTTAGCCAAACGACCCAGAAGTCCCTCTAGTGGCTGTCTGGTAGACAGCCATTAAAAGTGGAGTTATCCTTCAAAAGTAATTACCACTGCAGGGTTAAGTGAACTGGGAATATGCACCCAGACCACTTCAATGAGTTGGGTGCCTATAGTGTCCCTTTAATTTAGGGCAGTGTGTACAGTGT